CGGTAACTAAGTTTCATAATAGTTTTTTTATTGAATACTTATTTTTAGCCTTTTTAAAGGATAATTATCCACTGTTGTTATGCAAATGTTGTAAAGCCTTCAGGAGTTTTCATTGTATTCTCACTCCCTGCCATACCCAAGAGAATCTATTCTATTTTGGAATTCCAATATTCCTAGTCTCTTCAACAGAGAGTTTCGTACAATCAGTTCTTCGTATGTCAGTGATTATTAGCATGATAGCATCTATTGCTTTTGTGAGGAAAGACGACCGATCTTCTCTACCCTAAAGTGTTGAACACAGACACTTCCATTGACTATGAATGTAGACACAATCGGTTCGCAAAGTGTGTCGCACGATTGTATCATTAAACCACGTGATTAAACAGGTCTTTCATTAATCTTGTGTTCCAGAATTGTCCCTTCTCCAATTTTTGCAAATATTATGAAGTTGAACATATAACAACGCCGCCATGCCAGCTGAAGTCAAATGCTGAGGCTGAACGTTTTGTTGAAAAGTTCAAAAGAGCATTAAAGAAATCAAACCGGTAGAAATTATTCACCAGTTTTTAAGAATTTATAAATTGACCCCTAACCCTAATGCTGCATCGAGGATGTCACCAACGGAATTAATGTTTGACAGAAAAATTAAATCGATGTTTGACAAAGTACTAGCTGGAAGAAAAATTAAAAGTTGGCATAGTAAGTAATCATCTATAAAATCTTTCAAAGCTGGAGAAAGGGTTTTTTTCAGGACTTATAAAGCAGGATAGGTAAGTTGGGAAGGTGGCGAAATAATATATTGTATTACCATAGTGATATGCAAGGTCAAAATTGGCGTCATAAAAGTCATTTAAAACAATTAAATGCAAGATATAGTTAGGAAGTAAAAACCCAACAAAGATTTGCCTATAGAAGTACTGCATGATACGTTTGACTTGCCAAACCCAATTATATCTACTCGACAACACCGTGTTAGTAAAAGAAAAAGAAATCAAAGAGATGTGTTGGAAATGATCCTCCAAAGAAGGAAATACCTATTCAAAAAGGAATGCGTATCTTAAAAAGAAGTTGTGGAGAAAGACGACTAACCATCGCTACACGAAAATGTTGAACATAAACTCTTCTATTGAATATGAAGTAGTTGGAAGCTGGCTTTTACAGGAGTCACATAGTCGACGCAAAGTGTTTCATACTAACTACGATATTCGCTAACATTGTAAAATTAATCCACGTGATTAAACATTTCTTTCACTCATCTTATATTCGAGTGTTTTCCTTTGGAATATTATTAACCCGAACGACGAGTTGATACAAGCATTATAACAATTATGTTTCCAAACGTCCGCGGCTATAAAACTATATCTAAATATTTATGTATATCAGCATTTAAACGTCATGTAACCTGATGAATACTTATTCAGCAAAAATTACACTCATCGTCCACAAATAGTAAGTCTTCCTTTGTCCGATACAGAATTATCGGTTAATATTTTAAAGTGGAATGTATTTTTTTCGAGACAGCTTAGCTTTTGGATTTATAACATTTATTTATATAATCTAGTCAAGGAGAATTGCACAGTTACCAATGAATGATTCCCCCCACTCAACTGTATCTGCTTTAGAATTCTCTTTACAACTGTTGCCTTCATTAATATTTGCAATTGTTTGTTTTTTATACATAATTAGTAGTTTTGCTTTGAGACTTGTTCTGATAAAAAGGCTTTTATAAATTTCAACTTAAAGTAGCTCTAGTTGACTTGTCAATGAAAACCTAATATATCCTTAGAAGGAAATATATCCTTATAATGAAATATATCCCTATAATGAAATGGCTAATATCATCACTACCATTACTGGCTTTTCCATTTTGCATTTACGGTGTCCTTTGCGCAGTCATAATTTACTGTTAAGTCTCTTTCCAAATTGTTCTCTTTTAGATAGACTATCTTCTATGTACTAAGTTCTTTCATAACAACAAATCATGGTTCTCCACAACTTCCTATTTCGGGTGACCCTTAGCAGTTTTTCTCCATTTGCTAAGGTTACCGTTCCGCCATCTATTCACAGAAGATCGTTGCCTACATTTATCTCTTTTGTGCTTAGGTTTCGTAATTTTTCCAAGCCCTCCTTCCGCATTAAGGTCTAGAAGTAATTCCAGCTTTTTTTTTTCCTGATTCTGAGTAATCTTTCTATTGTGATTTTTTTTGAGAATTCCTTGTTCACTCGCCCAATCCAATAAATTCTCAGTATCCTTCTGCATAACTATATTTCAGCTGCCTTTAGTTTGTTTTTGTTTTTTTTTTTTTTCCGTGGAGAGATTGTTCAGCATTGACCATATAAGAGGATGGATATCCCTTCGCATTCCAGCACTCTTTTCTTTGATTCTTACGAAATTTTCTTGTTTCTCAGCGTTTTGCTTAGCATTTGCAATGCATCTTTCGCTAGTTCAATGCGTGTTCGAATCCCTTAAATAAAAAATAAAAACTTGAACAGAATTCAGCGCCTTCTCACTTCCTAGATGAACGCCTCCCTGATTGTCCATACCGTGTCGACGTATTCTTGTTCAATTGCGGATTGGTAAATCGACATGCTGGAAGTTCTGGATTACCGACCCTTCCCTCTCCTAGACCTTCCTGATAATTTGCTCATAGTGAATATAATATAACGAAAAAGACTACTATTACTCCTCGACTGGGATTCGAAATCTGCCCCACAATTCCGCAATCCGAGTTGCTATCCACTTTCCTTATTGTTTTTTGTTTAACTGACAGTGTCTCACTGAAATTACTGATATCGACCGTTTGTATTCAACATATATTTTATCGATCAGTATCTCTTTTCTAAAGACATTTTATTCTGGTGGTAGCGAGTCATATTGGCATCCAGGGAAATGACGGAGCCGATGCAGCAGCAAACAATGCACCGGAACGAAGACGACCAAACAGTAAAATAACATACACAGACGACAAACAGATCATCAACACATATATGGAAAATACTTGCAACAGCTCTGGGAAACAATGAATTACATAAAATAAAACCAACTATTGGAAAGTGGCGGAACTACACACTATCCAGAAAAGAGGAGGTGATACAGAACAGGCTCCGTATAGGACATACACCAATGACGCATATCGACTAAAGGGAAAGAAGCCCCCAATGTGCATGACATGCCAGGAAGGGATTCACAGTAAGCTATATACTGACAACATATAAGAAGCTGAAACTAACCTGAACCAAATATTACAAAACAAATAACCTGAAAGTGCAAAACAGATGACATTTTTAAACACCTATTACAAAAATCAGAAAAATATCCTGTTAAATCTTAACATAAGTAATGTTTATCAGTACAAAACTTAATACAACTTTTGACACGATTATTAAGTTTTCTTTTTTTTAAAATTACAATGGGCTATGATAAGGTTTTAGCCATCCTTGTTTACAGTAATTTTGGCTTGTGTAATGACGTCTCTTCCTTTTTTCAGACAATTAGTATCAAGCTACTCCCATCTATGAACGATAGTGGACTTATATTTTGCAATGAAAGTTCGCGGAAGTAAGAAAATTGTTAAATTTCAACGCAAATAACTGGATAGCATCAGTGTGGCAAGTTAAATACAGAAATTGCTAGGTTTTTCCAGGTTAATCATCAAACAGTTAATAATATTGTCAAGAATTTTAATGAAGAAGGTCATGTCATACGAGCAAAGTACAAAGGCCTAGAATGAATCACAAGAAATCAAGTCACTGCCTTGGGTAGCCCAAATTTCTGACATGAATACACGTTTGGGAGCACCTTCACCAAAAACCTCGAGAGCGTGCAACCAAAATCACTTCAGTAGCAACCCTTAAACTAATATTGCTAAGGAGGTGGAAAAATATGGATCAGATGATTGTTGAGAACTTGATCAAATCCATCAAAAATCGAATACAAGCACTGGAACTAGAAAAAGGAGGCTCTACTCTATAGTAGTTCCAAATAGTGTTTATTTATGTTGAGTCGGGATTACGTAATTAAATTTTCAAATTGGATGTAGTTTATTTCTCCTGGTTAAAAACTTTTCTTCGACCACTGTAAAAAAAATAAAAAAATAAACTTTGCTTAAATTCACTACGAAATAATAATACACAAATATAAAATCCTAACCCTACTTGCTTTGGCATTAGATCAATCACTAAGAGTTTATATGTCATTAAACAAAACAAAGAAAAGAAAAATGATTCATGCAGTTGCAAAATGCAGCCATGTATCATTTATTAATAGTAATTGTAGTACTAGTCGTATTAGTATACTTAGAATATTGTTAACTTCTGTCTTAAATTCACTTAAGCCTTCCACTACATTATCAACGGGGCTAATATTTTTACTGTTGAATTATCGACATGCAGCCGTAAGTTCTATTTAGATAGTTTCTTTTCTCGCATTTATCATTTGTGATTCAGATTTCTAGCCACCAAAAAGCTTCCAAAATTGAAAGTCAACCTCATACGCAATCTTCTCTCTTCTTAGTAGCATTATCGCCTTTCTTGGAGTCAAATGATTAAAAATAACACTTCATATGGGTTTCGAACAAAGGTAACCATAATCTAATAATACAACTGGCTTGGAAAATGGTCACTATTCTACAAGGTATTTAACTATTAATCCCAATTAAAATCAAAAGTTCGTAAATGGAATCCTTTGTGCAAAGTTTCTATATAAGTCCCTATCTACGAAACGGCCTCATCTGTGTGAAAAGCTCGCCCATGTAAGACCTTTCTGATACCGAGAAGCTCTGCGCTGCGGTAATTGCACAGACGATGCAAGACGAGGCAGCGATTAAGCAAATTGGAAATAATTCAAAATAAGTTAACGAAATGCAATGAATAATGGATTCACAGCTTCGTATTTGGTACAAATCAACTTCTATTTCTGTCTGTCTATTTAAACAAATATGTTTAAGTACAGAGTTTCACACGTAAAAATTCTTTCCGTTGTCTACCAAACTATTGAACGGATGAGTTTATCTATCTATCTATCTATCTATCTATCTATCTATCTATCTATCTATTTCTCTCTCTCTCTCTCTCTCTCTATATATATATATATATATATATATGTGTGTGTGTGTGTGTGTGTGTGTGTGTGTGTGTGTGTGTGTGTGTGTGTGTGAGACCGTGTTTGGAAAATAAAACATACCTATAATACTAGATACATACATAAAATATTCATACATTCAGTTAAAAATAAAAATCATTTTCGATAATGACTAAAAGAAAAATCGAAACCGCTTGGATATGCAGAACGTTTGAACAATTCTTACACGCTTTAACTCCAGAGAAGCAAAACACTTAAACTAACACGAGAAAAATTAACTAAAACCTTAATCGTAGTAATTTGTCGGTCATCTTTAATGAAACTTGTATAAATATAAATACAGGTTGCTGCCCCAAAATAAGAAATTATATATATATATATATATATATATATATATATATATATATATATATATATATATATGCAGATTTGGCTGATTATAAAGAATGATGCTATAGCTGTAAAATCTTCAATGTATTAATTCCAACACTTCTTATTAATAACTGCATTGTTTCTTTGCATGTAAACTGATATGTGACTGTCGAAAGAAGACTGTTCATCTTGTTGGTCAAACACGTCATCAAGTGCAAATATGACGTCATCATCATTGCTCTACTGGTTTTGAGCTACGTGTTTTTTCATGCTGAAGAACAGATTGTAGTCAAATAATGCCAACTAAGCAAAATATGTAGGTGACCACTCAGTTCAAAGCCACAGTCACGGACAATAGCCATTGAAGTTATTTGTGTGCTGAAGCATTTTCCTGATGAAACAAGAAACCGTTTCTTCAGTTTTCCTGGGTGTTTGGTCTTGATCGTTTTTCGTAACTGTCGTAGAAAGCTGGCATCTTACTCTCTGTTGTTTGTGTGGCCCCCTTCGAATATAATCAATAAATCCCCGCAAAGAAATTTAGGCCATCATCTTCGCTGCAAACAAAACAACCTTGGCCTTATTTGGAACTGATGAGGAGGTGAATTTCCACTGCATGGTTTATCTTCTTGTATTTCGCTTAAAGTGACGAAGCTAACACTCATTCTGGGTTAGGTAACGTTCATGGATATCCAATGGATTTGTCTAAAACAATATCAGATTTTGCCATGATGTGATCTGGTGTCAGAAGAAGTGACACTCACCGAGCACCATGTGCGCCTATATGCATGTGTTCTCTTTCTCTCTCTCTATATATATATATATATATATATATATATATATTATATATATATATATATATATATATATATATATATATATAGTTTTATTATAAAATGGCATTTAATGAATGAATTATCAAATAATTTCAGAATAATTTTTGTGTTATTTGCTCGCTATTGTGGGACCAACGTTTTACAAAATCTTTTTCCTGCAACTTTTATAAATAGTTACTACTTTAAACGTTAATAATGTCTTTATTAATTTAGATGTTGGATTAAAAATAAATCCATGAAAAGAAATTGACTATTTCACTTTGATCATTTCGTAAATTACCATAGATGAAATGTGGCTTCTGCATTCGGTTCCCAACTACTATTACAAAAGTCAACGGGATGATGATGATGATGATGATGATGATGATGATGATGATGATGATGATCATGACGATATCAAAATCATGGCCGCCATCTCCCGTGTTTTTCCCTTCCTCGTGCAATTTTCACTTCTATCCGCCTCTAATTACATCCAATGACGTTGGAATTGTCACTTCGTGTTGGGATTGGCTCAGTCCAAGCACATGTTCACTTTTGTAAACTATTTCAACTGGTCGATTTCTACCAGGAATAAGTTGAAGATTTTCTACATTTATTTCTGATTTTCTACATTCTCAATGATATCAGTTAACTCTCTGACTATTCTGATGACACATTTATTAATTCCTGTTTTAATGGTAAATCTGATCGATTCAATAAGGTCAAATTGGCAGTTGGTCTCAAAAATGACCTGCAATCGATTGTTAAGCGGGATGAGAAATGTTTTGTTAATATTAAAAACTCTCTTTGATCATCTGTGATAACAAATTTGCCTTCCATCAGCATGACTGACGTTAACACCCAGGAGAATGACTTATTGTACCTTCTCAAGCTAAAGTTTTTCCCGCTGTCAGAAAGTAGAAAGATTATATTGAATCAACTCCTTGTTCTGCTGTTAGGAAAGTCGGTTAACTGTGTTGTACTAAACAATGTTTTTTCGCAAGAATATATCTTGTACACATTTATAAGTCTATTATTCGTCTTTGCATTGAATATCTAGTCTAGTTCTTCTGCTATATATTCAGAGATTCTTGATAAAAAAAAAAAAGAATCTGCAATGTTATTGGTCCTAACCCAGCATCTCGACTTCATCCAATTTTCCATCACCGTAACATAACTTCACTGTGTCTTTTCCTATTTAGTAGCTAGACTTTATGAATTTCAGCGCAGTCCTACATTTGAAGGCAAGGTCTCATCGTTTTATAACTGAAATGGTTAGATATAACCGTAAATTATGTATAAACGCTTTCTTCTCTCGCACTACTCGCTTGTGGAACTCTCTTCCTGCTTTTTCTGTTGTTTATCAAACAACTTTGAGCTTCAAAAATCTAAATGCAATGTCAATCGTTATCTACTACCATCTTAATTTCTCCTTAATAATGTTTCCTTTTTCTCATATTCTGTTACGCCCAGTAACATCTTGCGGGCATTTATTGCTTTACTTGGGTTGAAATGATTTTTTTTAAATGATCACAAAAAAGACGGTGGCCAAGTTTCATTGTAATTCTTTGCTTTTTTACAAGCCTAATATTTCGCCATTGAACAATTAATTCTCGTTATATTTTTTAAATGACTTTAAAATATTTCGTTAAGCAAAGAGTATCATTTTTTTACACTATTTACATTGATCGGATTAATGTCCTGAACTTTATTCACGACGTCTCAGCCGTTGTACGCTCCGGCCTTCTTCCGGTGATATATTTTGAAATTTCGAACCAAATACTTTATGTCGTCACCGGGCTAGATTGTTCTAGTTCTAAGTGCCTTGGCTTTTCTAGATATCTTAATTATCTCACTTTTAGTAGCTCAGCTCGCCAAGTTTGTTTTTTTTGTTTTGCTTTTTTTTCAACTCTGCTATGGCCCGGTATTGAACTCATAACTCTTTGGGTTAAGTCAGTGGATGACTTCAATCCACTACGCCATATTTATCATTTTTGCATTTTTATATTTTATATGCTGTATTTGATGGAAAATATTTGTCCCTCTGCTCCCCACCCCAACATACACAAGCGGAAACATGTCTGGAATACATAAGGCAAAGTTGTTATATATTCTAGTGAATAGATTTCCATATATACTTATATATTATATGTACGCCTGTGTGAGTGGCCAAACAGAAATTGTTAATGGAACGTAAAAAGAAATTGTTAAAGATCGTCAATAAATGAAAGAATGAAACAAACAAAATGATGTAAAGAAAGAAAGAAGTAGAAATGCAATGAGGAGATGAAAGACTGAAATAAGTCATACGTAAAAGAAAGAAAGAAAGAAACAAACAAACAAAGAATCAAAGAAAAAAAGAAACAAACAAAGAGAAAAGTAATAAGGAATTATATAAAGCAGAAAAAAGAAGACAGCAATAAAAAGAAAAAAGGAAAGCAAAATGGGAAAACAAACGAAAATAAAGAAAAAAACAAAAATGAAAAAATAACGAAAGAAAGAAAGAAAAAGAAAAAGATGAGGAAAAACGAAACCGTAGAATGTGAACAAAGACGAAAGCAAAACCAAAAAATGAAAATACTGGCCGACAGAATCCTGAAACGGATCATAGGAATTTCTACTGACTTCTAATTAAGTGATTCATTAAAGAAAATAATATATAAAACGTATTTCAAATTATTGATACTTACAACAGTAGACAAAATGACGTTGTGTTATTTTTTAATATTCAGACTAAATTAAAATTAATATTTTCACCTTGACATTGACGTTAAAATCAACCATGATTTTCTTATACAGTTTTCTGAAATTTAAATAAAATTACGAAAAATCATATCTTTCAAAACTATCATAGAAATTAATAAATAGCAACTCTTTTTTTTTCCTTTATATTTGCTAACTGACTTTACTCTTTATTGGTTTTCTCATTATTTATTGAAGTTTTTACTCTGCTTTGCTTTGCTTTCAATGAGTCTTTGTTTATAATTTTCTTAATCCCTCTATTAAAACTTTTGGGCAAAAAGCCTCTAGGATTATTGCGAAAACTAATTATTTAATTTTTCACATAACCTTCATTGAATAATGTATCTATCATTTTCTTTTCTTCTACAATATTTTGCAACGATTCAGGTAACTTCACAATTCCATCCTTCCAGAATATTTATTAAAATTTCCCATAAATTATGAACTTATTAATCAAGATATTTCGTAAAAAATACTTAGAAAAAAACTCAATCCCTAGTAAATAACGCAGGACGAGTATAAATGTTCGAGGTAATTTTTGCCGTGTCGTCAGATGGTTTAACTTTAACTTAATCATTGATTTCATGTGAAATGTTCGGTGACCATGGACTAAACATGCGAGCAACGACGACGTTTTAGAGAAAATGAAAACAAAAAGGAAACTCATACTTAACATCAAGAAGAGATCAGCAGTTGAGATTTCTAAGGCATATGATGAGGACAGAAGACTTAGAAAATCTGACACTCACGGGATAGATTGAAGGTAAAAGAGAAAGAGGAAAACAGCGCTTGAGTAAATGGATGGTGAAACAGGGTTTAGGAGAAATAACAGAAAAACAAAATTTATTAAGAGCTACAAGGGACAGGAACTTGTGGAGAGCCATGATCGCTTAAGTCCTGAGAGGACACGGCACATAAAGAGAAAGAATCGTTTGGAGTAGGTCACATTTAAGGATTTATTTCCATTCTCGACATATATGAAATATGATTTTATTTTGATGGAAAATTACATTTGGAGTGATTAGAGATGATTTATTTTGTTTCTAGTATGAACTGTTGCATTTCACGTTGTCTACATTGCCCGTCAGAATTGAAACCTGGCCCAGCAGATCTGCGCTTTACTTGGCTCAAGGGGAAGGTACGTCGCAAAAGAACAAACAAACCGAAATTAGTGAAAATGATTTCCAGTGCTTGATCTGAATGTTTTTCCTGTGTCGACAACAAGTTATTCTCAAGTAATGTTTTGCTTGTATTTGCTGTCAACCGTAAGCGTTCACTCCTGCTGTAAAGAATCCCCACATTTCCCTTATCTGATCATTAACCGTATCATCCTCATACTCTACATAATCTTCTTCCAGATTTTGGTAATAGCGCTATTATCTTGTTAAACATGGTGCATGCCGAAACATGTTGCTCTTTTTGCGCTAATGTAATGTAGTTCTTCTATATGCCATGTCTCTTTAGTAAGTTTTGTCTTTTTGTTATCTTTCACAATCCCTGTTCTGATATCCACTTACCCGAAAGAAAATGAAAGTACGGAAATTTTGGAAAAAAATTTAAAAAATGCTTAACTGCCAAAATTCACTGAAATTTAAAACAAAAACGTTCGACATTTTTCTAGGTTAATATTTACGTTTCTTTTTTATCATCTAATTCTGTATTTTGTTATTTTTTTTATTGTCCTCTCTTGTAATATAAACATTTTTCATTCGGTTCTGCTTTCCTCTCATTCAACTTGAGTTTCCATTGTTGTTTACACGGTGGAGTAATGGATAGCGGCTCGGATTGAGGAATCGTAGAGCAAAGTTCGTTTTCTAGTCGAATATATTACATTTATTTACGTGCTAATACCCCTGGGAAAGGTATGAATCCTTTTCTTTTCCTCCCAGCTATGGGTAAATTCTATAGCTTGGGGTGGCAACTGGTCGACCGCAGAAAGAAATGGCAACCTAGTGCGAGATAATATCTGCCTCGTCAGTCATGTATCAAAAGATACATGATCGCCTAAGCGTGTATCACGCATGGAACATAAGTGACTGCTATTTAAAAATCGATCTTTCTTACGTTGAAATACTTTTTCATTTACCCTTTTGCTTTTTAGGTTCTATCTTTTACATTTATTCTAATCTTTCAGATATTTCTCTGTCTCTATCAGCATTTATTTAGTTTTCGTTCTTTCAATTTATTTTCGATTTTGATTTTGCAACTGCACTTTGATTTGCATTGCACCATGCTATTTATTTTTAGTTGATGTTTCTTTCGACGATCAGTTGACGCTGTCTTTCTTTTACTGATTCTTTCTTTCCTTCGTCCATTCTTCCGCTTTATATTCTTTCTTTCTTTCTTTCTTTCTTTCTTTCTTTTTGATTTTCTTTCCTTCGTTTTTATTCCAAATTATATTTTTTTCCTTCATTCTTTCTTTTCTTTCTTTTCTTCAATCGATTCTAAAATTATATTTCTTTCTTTCTTTCTTTTTTTTTTCTTTTTTCCTTTCCATTCTTCCACTTTATATTCTTTCTTCCTTCTTTTCTTTCTTTCTTTCCTTTCTTTCTTTCTTTCTTTCTTTTCTTTCGTCGATTCTTCCACAATTATATTCTTTTCTTTCTTTTTACTTTTTACTCTTTTTGTTCCTTCGTCCATTCGCTCCTTTTTCTTTCTTTCTTTCTTTTTTTTTTTCTTTTCTTTCTTTTTTTGGCACTTTCTTTCCTTCGTCCATTATTCCAAATGTTCCTTCCTTCCTTCCTTCCTTCCTTCTTTCCTTCCTTTCTTTCTTTTTCTTTTTTCTTTCGTTCGATTCTTCCACGTTATATTCTTTCTTTCTTTCTTTCTTTTACTCTTTCTTTCCTTCGTCCATTCTTCCACTTTATATTCTTTCTTCCTTCTTTTTTCTTTCTTTCTTTCTTTCTTTCTTTCTTTAGAAATTCTTCCATTATATTCTTTCTTTCTTTCTTTCTTTTTTCTTTTGTGGAAGTCCATACTTCCACTTTTCTTTTTCCTTTTTCTCTTTCTTTTCTTTTCTTTCCTTCTCTTTTCCTTCGTCCATTCTTTTTCTTTCTTTTTCTTTTCTTTCTTTCGGCGTTGATTCTTTCTTTCTTTTCTTTTCGAGTCTTTTTATTTCTTTCTTTCTTTCTTTTCTTTTTTGACAATTTCTTTTTCGTCCATTTTCCACTTTTGTTATTTTCTTTTCTTCCTTCTTTCTTTCCTTCCTTCGATTCTTCCAATTTTTAAATTCTTTCTTTTTTCCTTTACTTTTCTTTTTCGTCCATTCTTCCACTTTTTTTCTTTCTTTCTTTCTTTCGTTCTTTCTTTTTTTTTTTGGTTATTTTCATTCCTTTCCATTATTCCACTTTTCTGTTCTTCCTTCTTTCCTTCCTTCCTTCCTTCCTTCCTTCTTCCTTTTCCTTTCTTCGATTTTCCATTTTTATTTTTTCTTTCTTTTCTTTCTTTTCTTTCGATTCTTTTTTCTTTCGTCGAGTTTCCACTTTTATATTCTTTTTTCTTTGTCTTTCTTTTTTTTCTTTTTTTTTCATTTCTTTCCTTCGTCCATTATTCCACTTTGATTTTCCTTCCTTCCTTCCTTCCTTCCTTCCTTCTTCCTTCCTTTCTTCTTTCACTTTTCTTTCTTTTTTTTCTTTTCTTTTCTTTCTTTCTTTCTTTCTTTTCTTTCTTTCGTCGAGTCTTCCACTTTATATTCTTTCTTTCTTTCTTTCTTCTTTCTTTTTTGACACTTTCTTTCCTTCGTCCATTATTCCACTTTATGTTCTTCCTTCCTTCCTTCCTTCCTTCCTTCCTTCCTTCCTTCCTTCCTTTCTTCGATTCTTCCACTTTATATTCTTTCTTTCTTTCTTTCTTTCTTTCTTTCTCTCTTTCTTTCGTCGCCACTTTATATTCTTTCTTTCTTTTTCTTCATCATTTCTATTTTTCGATTTGCACTTTATTTATTTCTTACTTTTTTTATATTTGTTATTTCTTTCTTTTCATATACTTTTTCATTTTTATTTTTTCATTTCTTTTTTCTTTATTATTTTTTCATATTTGTCCTTTTCCCCTCTTTATTTCCTTATTGTTCCTATTTATTCATTTATCCTTTCTTTCATTTCTATTTTTATATTTGTTCTATCTTTCCTTATTTCTTTCCTTCTTTCGTTTGTCTTTTACTTTCTCCCTCTCATCAGCCATTTTTTATGTTCGCTCCTTTTTGTCACTACTCCTTTCATTCTTATCACTTATCTACCTGGAAGAGTCCATCCCAATCTTGACTTACATTAGATTGCAGGCTTCAATACCCCAACCAGAGAGAAACCATGCTGTTCAATATGGAACACGCGCGCTTAGGTTTACTTAAGTGCAAGTGTGTTGGTGTAGGTGGATATTATGCTTTAAGTAAAATACAAGTTACTGTGTATACGAGTGCTTCAAATTAGACTGCATATACATAGGTATAGCCAGAGTTCTACAGCCTAATGATAAAATGTATTTATTTTATAAAAAGAAATGTTGGTAAAAGAGTAATCGCTTTTATTTTATAAAAGCATAATATTTAATTAAAGAAAACTCGTACTTTAAGTATTAAAAATACAATTTTAACAACAAATATATTTATTTTTCAACATACAAGTTCCTTGTCAATGCACTTAATTTCGAGATAAATATTAATCCCGAAATTTTGTTGTGTACATTGTAAGTTTTCCATTCGCATTGCACTAATAAATGTATATCAGGCTACAAACCTCAATCTTCAAACATATATGTAACCAGCAACGTGTACACCGGAACAGATATAGTGATTTACTAAGCATAGCTTAGATGTGGCACAAGGACAAATGTAAGGAGTACCTAGTGAGTATGGAACTGACTTCTAGAGTCATAATTGATATAGCAAAACAAACTGGCCAACCATTACACAACGTCGTGGTACACTAAAATGATTTTCTAAGCATATCTTAGATGTGGCACAAGGCCGAAATGTGGAGCACGCCGAAGGGCCGTACAAGAAGACACAGACTACACGCACACACACACACACACACACACACACACACACATATATATATATATATATATATATATATATATATATATATATATATATATATATATATATACATACACAAGAGAGAGAGAGCTAAATAGGGTTAGAAAAAGTGAGATATATGTGCACTTTTATCTGAATAAAAGTGAATATATATTTGTATATATTAAACTGCACAAGAAGGTGGAAATAATAAAAACCAGCGATAGATAAAAATAAGATTATTTCGGAAATGACTAATAAGAAAATATACGAACGAATTTTATCGTGATTGTTTCCATTCATTTTGACCAACACTCATTCAGCCATGTGCGTCTGTTGATCAGAGCGAAGTGTTTGGGCGTGCAACGAAACAAACAAAAGGCTCATCACTTTTTCGGCTAGAACAACAACTCAGCGCACTACCAAGTATTGTGAGCTGATTACTTTACACTCTCAAGTAGGCCTTGCAGCTTTAGGCTTTTAACGAGTGAACACATAACGAGGCAGTTGAGAATTGATGATAACGAAGCAGACAAACAACATTCTTGATTTCTCATTAAAATCGAAAGTGATAGTGAAAGTAGAAGTAACACGGGGCAGAGACAAAGAGAAAAATAAAGCGATGGTTGAGACATGTATGACACAAGCATAACAATGTACAACAAATGATTGTAGTAAGAATTAATTTAATGTAAGTTTACTTTAATTGAGATCCTATGCACTGTTTAAAAATCACTATTAGAAAATTACATTATAAGTGTAATATTAAGGGTGCTTCACCAAAGAAAGAGACATTAAGAAAATGATAGAGGCAGCGAACGATAGACTGAAAAAGAGGATCATATGAACATATAACAAGCTGATCTTTGTGACCCTATAAAATCCCCTGTTGTGCATAGGACCATAGTCTCATCACGCTAGGTGCTGCTACTTTGGTTTATGTATCAAATCGAAAGGCAACTATAATTTTGCTGCTTATAATATTAACCCAGACATTCAGTTATGTATTTACGTGATATTTACTCTGATGTGGATATCTTTCGATATATATGATTGACGAAGCAGATTTTTTTTTCCCGCAGTAGGTTGCCATTTCTTTCTGCGGTAGGCCACTTGCCATCCAACGCTATAGAACCCGTTATGTCCTGCTATTAACCCATAGCTGAGGAGAGAAGAAGAGGATTCATACATTTCTCAAGGATATTAACACGTAAATGAATGTAAAGTATTCGACTGGAATTCGAAATCGGCTCTCTGATTCCTCAATCCAAGCCGAGTCATTACATGCTTTATTAATCTGTATCTAAGGCAAGTTGTTTGACGACATCCAATAAAGATACAACTACCAGCTTTATATTCGCTATTAAAATTACTCTAGACAAAATCGTTTTCATCTCCTCCTCCTCCTTCGCACTACATAAGTTTCTCTTTGTGATATTTACTTAAAGATGCCAGTTTGGTTGATTTCATGCCTTTAAGCAATGACTAGAATATTCTGTATTTTACCATCCTTATTACATCCGTAATCCAAGTTCCAAATATCTCTGCTTGTCAAAACATTTTACTTGTTTCCTTTTGAATCCTTGTGATATTCTTAAAGTTAACTTATTCATATATTGCCAATAATTTTATTTCCTTTTTTGAATGTTATATGATCTCTATTCAATATTATGCAATTTCTAAAATTGCCTTGACTTCACTCAACATTACAATATCTTGTTTCTCTATTGAGAATAGAACTTGCTTGCGGTTAATGACAATTTTTATACATCTGACTATAAGAATAAAATAATAAGTATATTATTACCTATATGTATATAAATATGGTGAAAAGTTCTAGAGTTGATTTCAAGATATCAAACCAAAAAAATACGCTATTACAAATAATTCTAAAAATATTCTGAAATTGAATTGCTATTTTTAACAGACACACATACATATTCACACACATATATATATGTGTGTGCGTGTGCGTGTGTTTGTATCTGTGTGTGTGTTAAAGTTCCCAGAATATATCTGCAGGAAAGACGAAATCAAATAGAATAGCCAATAGGAAAAACATTACTTAGTCTTTGCCAACGCGTTTCGTCTTCTGACTTTATCAAGGTAATTGATGATATTATTTTGTTTTGTCCAGGGTATCTAACATAAATAAAACGAAATATTGTTAGTTACTCGAAATTCAAAAGTTTTGTAAAACAATCATGAATATTCGTCACTTAGCAACCTCTAAAATCTAAAAAACAAGAATCATCAAGTTCAGTAAATATGAAAAAAAAATGACGTAAGGAGGATTTTCCTTTGTCATCAAGAAGATTGTAAACTCAAGTTTTTGTGTGATGCCCGAATTGAACCCCGATGGTCATGTTCACTTTTATGAAAGTCTCTTTTATTTTTTCATTAAATTATTTAGTAAGTTTTATGAAAATTCTATTTAACTTTGCAAAGACAGGATGTCGTAGCTGACTGAATTTCACATTATAGTCCGTGTTTAACACGAGAGAAAGATTACCTATCTTCCTCATCATAAAAGTAATCAAAATAATATCCCTTCCCTTGATAGTCAGATGACGGAAATTCTCATATAAAGACTAAATAATGTTTTACATATTTTTTGACACCTTATATATATATATATATATATATATATATATATATATATATATATATCCTAAATTGTGTGTGCACGGTGGAGTATATCTTTGGTTTTCTAGCGGCTCTTATTGAGGAATCGAGAGCCGAATTTAATTCAATTGAAATCCATTATATTCAATTACGTGCTACTACTTAAAAGGTATTAATCCTATTCTCCTCCGGCTATGGAAAAATATTAAAACAGTTTTGGGTTCTATAGCCTGAAAGGTAACTGATCTAGAAGAAGGAAAATTCTGAATTCAAAAAATGCAGAAGGGTCGTTTGGGGACCTTTGGCGACTTTTTTCGCCCATTCTGTATTCGGCCCTTCAAAAGTGTGGATGGTCCCGCAAAACAAATGCTTTTTCACCACTATAATCAAATTATATGTCTTTTTTGTAAATCAGTTGGTTCCCACGGACTGAGCTAACCATAGTCCAATCATAAGTCGAATATAAATCTATAAATTATATATATATATATATATATATATATATATATATATATATATATATATATATATATATATATATATATATAATATTATTATTCGCTTTAAAAATGACTTGACTCAACTTAGACACGTGAGGGGCAAATTGATACTCGAGGTAAAAATTTCAATAAAAAAACGTAAGAACTAAAACATCAGAACAATCATCATCATTAAATAATTCGTCTATTGTCTTAAATGTGGTTCAAAAGAAAAAAACACAAACATTGAGTATAAACTTTTCAAAAATATATTGCTCAATATGCTATAAATAGAGGGATAAATTATCCAGTTTACGCTGAAGATCCATTTATCATGAAATATCTAGGTATATTTACCTGGAATTTCAATCGTTAAATATATATATATATATATATATATATTTTTAAAACCGTTCTTTTTTTATTGCATGATATATTTTAAGATTATGTTTTATTATTTATATATATATATATATATATATATATATATATAAATATATATAAAACCCCGTATATAATCGCGTATTATATTTAAAATTTTAAACAATACCATATAATATATATATTATATATATATATATATATATATATATATATATATATATATATATATATATATATATATATATATATATATATATATATATAATTAATATATACATTTTCTGTATATATATATATATAATATATTTTGAAATTTATATAAGAATGATATTATATAAATATTGATTTATATGGTCCCAGGTTAAATAATAGACAAATTTTATACGCTTATTTTTCAAATCAAAAAATATCATATATTCTGACATTAACATTAAAGATTTAAAATCATATATATATACATGTTTTTACATACATCTACACACACACAACACACATCACACATATGTGTGTGTATGTGTATCTGTTTGTAAATATATATATATATATATGTTTATGTATATAAATATATATATATATATATATATATATATATATATATATATATATATATATATATATATATATATATATATATATATATATATATATATATATATATATATAAATTTTCAAAATAGACACTTCTTCAGTTTGAAAGATACAAGGCCCTCACTGGTACCTCCACTTAAAATTTAAAATCTCTCAGTAGAAATGGAAC